CTTAAGCCCTCAGCTACTTGCCTCGCGAAGTGGGATGATGCGCTTGGCCCACGCTGCCTGCTGCTTCGCCTGGCGCCGGGGTTTAGGGGAAAGGGTTTAGGGTTTAGGGTTTAGGGTTCAGGGTTCAGGGTTTAGGGGTCGGGGACACTACCCCCATTATCTTGCTTGTCCTTAGAAGGGCACTTTGGAATCAGGTATGCCCGCGAGAGGGGCTTAGGAAGAGGATCTCATCACCACTTGACCATAACGCTGAGCAGACGCCAGACGCTGAGCGGTTGTACCGGGCAAGGCGTGTGTCGACGAAGAGCATACTGGGCAACCATGAAAGAAGGTTAAGGGTTCAGGCTTTAAGCTTTAGGGTTTAGGGTTAGGGTTTAGGGTCTAGGGTTTCGGGTTTAGGGTTTGGGGAGAATGCTTGCTGAGGCTCGACAAGAAGCAGCTGGAAGTAAGTTTCGAAGGACCCTCTCACACAAACAAGGTGCTTCCTTAAACCCAACAAGGGGAAGTAAGGGAAACATCTCCAGGACGCTTGGTTGCAGTGCACTGGGCGAATTGTCTGGCTGTAGGGTTTAGGATGCAGGGGTTCGGGTCCAAAGCGCCAGTTTTAGCTGCTGCATGACTAGGAAACCCGAAAATAAGCCCCCTAAAGGCTAAGGATCTAAAGTTACAGCAAAGCACCACAAAGAAATTTCATGTCAAGCATTAATCGTGCGTGTTAGAAAAGGAAAAGTAGAAGTAACAGCGGCTATGATAACAAAAGAAACTAAACACGGATGCCAGACTGTCTACCCTAAACCCCCTAAATCTGCTACACCGCTATCCCCCCTAAGGGCCCCCCCTGACCAACAGAAAGTCTTCCAACAAAAGGCGGCCCTAAACCCTAAACCCTCCGCAACCCTCAACCCTCCGCAACCCTCAACCCTCAACCCTAAACCCTCAACCCCAAACCCTAAACCCTGAACCCCAAACCCTAAACCCTCAACCCGAAACCGTAAACCCTAACCCGTAAACCCGAAACCCAGAACCCTAAACCCTCAAAGCCTCCTCATCGGCGTCACCTCGCTCTGCGGCCACGACTAGGAGGTTCAGCTGGTTGGCATCCAGGCCTTTGGGTTTAGGGTTTAGGGTTTAGGGTTCAGGGTTTAGGGTTTAGGGTTTGAGGTTTAGGGTTTAGGGTTTAGGGTGTAGGGTTTAGGGCTTAGGGTTTAGGGTTTAGGGTTTTAGGGTTTAGGGTTTAGGGTTTAGGGTTTAGGGCTTAGGGTTTAGGGTTTAGGGTTTAGGGGTTTAGGGGCTTAGGGCTTCAAAGCCGTTCGCCGGGGCCCCGGGCACATGAGTCCGAGGTTGAGCCCGGAGAATATTGCGGAGAGGACAGCAAGGACCTTGAGGAGCCGGGTTGATGGGCTGAGGCTTTCCGAAACCCCAAACCCTAAACCCTAAACCCTGAACCCTGAACCCTAAACCCTAAACCCTAAACCCTAAACCCTAAACCCTAAACCCTAAACCCTAAACCCCCAAACCCCCAAACCCGAAGCCGCAAATCCAGAACAGCTTCAGCAGGTCTTCGGGAAGTTGACATGAATTACCGTCACAATGGTGCTATGTTATTTGCTGTGTTTCTATCAGTATATATATATATACATACACATATACAACTTTGATAGCTCAATGTTTTGTTTCCTGACAAGAGCGCTTGTCCAACGGCGTGCAAAAACGGGAAACTTAAAGACAATGCCCGAAACCCTAAACCCGAAACCCTAAACCCTAAACCCGAAACCCTAAACCAACAAAAACTGAACCCTCAGTGGCATTCCTTTGCGGCAGCCTTGAGGGTGGCGTGTTGGGAGGCCGGCAACCACGCTTCGCGTGGTCGGGCCCGGTGCAGTTTGGCTCAGGGTTTGAGGGTTTCAGGGTTGAGGGTTCAGGGTTTAGGGCTTAGGGTTTTGGGTTTAGGGTTTAGGGTCCAGGGTTTAGGGTCTAGGGGCTAGGGCCTAGGGTTCAGGGTTCAGGGTTCAGGGTTTAGGGCGGTTTAAGGTTTAGGGCCGGTTCGCTCGGCAAAGTTAGATGCTGAGATACTCATTGTCGCTGTCATAGCCCTGAGTACGCAGAGAAGCCTTCGCACCAAAGCAAACTTAGCCCAAAACCTCCAAACCAACAATTCTAAACTCTGAATCAAGTCCCACACGCTTCAAAGTTCGAAACCACCTTCAACACACTCGACAGCAGGGAGCAGCGGGGGGGGGGGGGAGGGTGTTTCGGGGGGGCGCGCCCAGGTATGGTCCAGGGTCGGCTTCAGGGCAGCCTCCAGATAGTCTCAAGTCTCAGAAAGGTCCAGGGGGAGCGGGCAAGGGGTACTCCCCCCATTAGGGTTTAGGGCTTAGGGTTTAGGGTTTAGGGTTTAGGGTTTGGGGTTTCGGGTTGAGGGTTGAGGGTTTATTTCTCCAAGGTGTTTCCAAAAGGCTTTGCCGGAGAGGGGGGGGGGGGGGGGGGGGGCAGCGACAGC